AATATGCACTCAAGGCTTTGGGGTAAAGGGGCATATGGGCAAGTAACCCGCCCGTAGCCAGGAAATGAGATGAGCAGCCCTCCCCAGTAAGCTCCGGCAGCCCAGTCCCTTGGGAATCCCAGGAAGCTCCCCACTTTCATCGCCACAGCAGTCTCTGAAGTAGCCTCCCTCCCTTGAATTCTTCCCCTTCTGGAACCCAAGTCATGACACTCTCAGCATAAATCAGCCTCAACGGTGCCACGGAGCCCGCTGGAGAAAGGCCAGCTGCTGGGCGCACCCCAGGGCCCTTGGGGACCAGAGCTGGCAACCTCCCCACCACATGGCCCGAGGGCCAGCCTCACCAACTCTCCCCTGGTGTCCCTGAACCTCCCCCTCCATGCTTTGCCCTCTTCCAGGAATGGCCTCCCCCTCCATCACCTCCTCTGCTCCCCTGGAGAACTCCTATTCATTCTGAAGGGTCCACCCAAATGCCCCAACCTCTCTGCAGCCTCTCCTGCCCTACGGAGGGTGCGGGTGGCTTCTGCCTATCTAGCATCTATCCCTCACGCAGTCAATGCCCCACTTTTGTCTGGGGCCGTCCCTTCCCCACTCTCGCTCCATCAGGCTCAGGCGGTCCTGCACCCCGACCCCAAGTCATGCCTGACTCCTCGCCTCCAAGCTCCAAAAGACAGGTTGTGACCTAGATCTGGCACAGTCTTTCCCCCGACCTCAGCAACAGGTCCGAGAATGGAAATGAGATCCAGACCGGGACAAGAACACTCAACTCCAGGGCTATGGTGATCCCGAAGGATTCCGCAGGAAACTCTCCATTCGTAAGCACTGTGGGCGGTCCAGAGAATGGAGCCACCAGAGGAAACAGAGCCCAGAGATGGAGAGAGGCAGCCTGGTCGTCTTTGAGACCCTGGATCCAGCTGTACCTGAACCCACATACTTTTCACTTCTGAGTACCGACCTTTTTTCCCTTCTTTTCACTCCCCCACTGCCCCTTCCTCCTCTTTCTCCTTCTCTCTCTTTGCTTTAAGCCAGTTCAAACTGAGGCTTCGTTACTTATAACTGAAAGTCTCAAAGTCACCCTCAAACCCTTTCTTACCCAGGCATTCAAGCAGAAACCATACCGACATTTCCAGCATATTTATCAATATCTCAATTATGCACTTGTTCACATATTATTAGCAGACCGAGTCCTCCCCTAAACTATGAACTTCTGGAGGGGAGGGGGCAAGCTTTGCATAGGACTCATTTTGGTACCCCAGCCCTGGCTCTCAACAAGGTTGTTGTTGGTTTTTTAATCTATTAATTTATTTATTTCTTCATTTTTGGCTGCATTGGGTCTTCCGTTGCTGCACGCGGGCCTTCTCTAGCTGCGGCGAGCAGGGGCTACTCTTCGTTGCAGTGTGCAGCCTTCTCATTGCGGTGGCTTCTCTTGTCGCAAAGCACGGGCTCTAGGCACGCGGGCTTCAGTAGTTGTGGCACGCGGGCTCAGTAGTTGTGGCTCGCGGGCTCTAGATCGCAGGCTCAGTAGTTGTGTCACACGGGCTTAGTTGCTCCACAGCAAGTGGGATATTCCCGGACCAGGGCTCGAACCTGTTTCCCCTGTATTTGCAGGTGGATTCTTAACCACTGCACCACCAGGGAAGTCCCTCACCAAGGTTTCTGAATGAATCAGTGAACCACCTAACCAACTATGGGTGCCCAACCAGTGGACAAGTCAGGCATGCCCACCACATGCCAGACCACGCTGGCCCCTCAGGGGACACAGGGTGTCTGAACAGCCCCCAGCCCACGCCTGCTCCAAGCAGCTTGCAGTCTGGCTGGGGAAGGGCGATCAATGACACGGGGCCTGCCAGACTCTCCCCTGCTTGAGACGGGGACTTAGGAAAAACCTGGAGGGGTGCGCTGTGTCTGGATGAATCTGAAGGTGCGTGCCTGCACTGCTGCTGGCGTGGGGTCTCTGGACAATTGTCACTTCCTAAGTCTCCCTGCACATCTGTCAGCTTAGGTTTGCAGTCCAGGCATAGGGCAATAAACTGAGAGCTGCTGGTGCTGAAAGGACAGCTCCCCTGGGAGCCCAGCACAGCTGCTAGCACCCCAATCCCGCTGCACCAATCTGTCATTTAATCGGCACCCACTGTGTGCCAGTTTACATGCATTTCCTCCAAACCATCCTATGAGGGAAGCATCATTATCCCCGTGTCACCCGACCCTGGCCCTCACACCCTCTCTTGGCCACGTCACCACCTGAAATTCTATCATACAGTTATCTGTCTGTTGTCTGTTTCTCACACCAGAATGTGAGCTCCACGAGGACAGGGTCAGCCCTGTATCCCCAGCACCCGGGACAGCGCCCAGCACACCACAGCATGCGGCCATTACTGCTTAATCAACGAACAAATGAAACAGATTTCCGTGCGGTGCAGCCAGGTGTCCACGGCAAGGGCGGGGAACTTGTTCCTGAATGGCCTCACCGTGGCCCAACACCACACTACAGACCCAAGCTCCCTCCCCTCCCTCTCCTGCCCCACCTCCAACTACAGACCTCCACCCAAGCGGTAATTATTAAAATCGGGGCCACACAACCCCCAGGGCTCCTGCTCCCTTCAAGCCCCCTCTTGGCCTCCAGTACTTCCGCCTTCTGGTTGGTGAGATCCGCCCACATGGCAGGGTCGCGGCGACTTCCAGACAACCCCAGCCCAGATGCCCTTGTGCCCTTGGTGACTCCTTCAGCTGGACATTTGGGGAGGAGGGGGAACTTCATCATCGGGTGGAAGATGGGAGCTCAAGGGCAGACCACACCCCGCAGGTCTGACCTTCACCATCTTGCAGCTCCTGCTTCCCTGAAAAGCAGGACTGAAGGTGCAGGGACCTGGTCCTAAGACGAGTCTTTCTCTTAGTGTAACCCTAATGACTCTGCTTCATTCAGAGTTATTCGCTGTCCATTCTGCGGCCAGAGGGACACACCCCACACCCTGACACGTGTATGCACCTGGGCCACCCCTCCTGCAGCAATGGAGGACCTGAGTCCCAGGGAAGCTAAGTGACCAGCCCAAGGGTGCCCAGTGGGTGAGCGATGGGACCAAGACGAACGGTACACCATCAGAACACTCAGTCCATGCTGGGCTCTGGGCCAAGCACTTGCCATGCTCGGCATTTAGTTCTCCAACTCTCTAATGAGGGTTAATTATTTTGTCCCTTTTACAGATGAGGAAACGGAAGCTCAGAGACTCAATCAACCCTGTGAGATTAGTACTACTATTATTTCCCGTCTTTCAGAAGAGGAAGCCAAGGCACAGAGAGGCCATGTAACATGCCCGAGATCATGCAGCCATTAAGGGGAGGGGCCCCGAGGCAGACCCAGGTGGTCCGACAACAGAAGTCACCCGTGGTGAAATTCTACTTTCCAGTTCTCAAGTACATAAGTCCCCTACATACGAACCTTCAAGTTGCGAACTTCCAAAGATGCGAATGTGCTACTACCCAGACATCACTGGATCGTTTTTTCAAGGGGGTAGATAGAATTGAATCCAGCAAGGAACCAGAACCTGTGTCATCAACGTCAGGCGAGAGTGACATTGCAGCTTGCCTTCCATCTCCTACTGCTGATGACCCTTCAGCTCTACCATCTCCCACCTCCTCTCCCCACTCCAGTCAGTAGCTCTTCTTGCCTGTTCACTCGATGCCAGCCCCTGGATGCCAGCTGTTGTGCTGTACTATTGTCATTTTCAAGGTACTGGACTGTAAGATTTAAAATGTTCTCTTGGGACTTTCCTGGTGGCGCAGTGGATAAGACTCCGTGCTCCCAATGCAGCGGGCCTGGGTTCGATCCCTGCTCAGGAAACTAGGTCCCACACGCATGCCGCAACTGAGAGTCTCCATGCCACAACTAAGGAGCCCGCCTGCTGCAACTAAGACCCAGCACAACCAAATAAATAAATATTTTTAAAAGTTTTCTTTATTTTTTGTGTTTATTTTTTTATGTACTATTTGTGTGAAAAGTCTTATAAACCTATTACAGTACGGTACTATGTAGCCGATTGTTAGTTGGGTACCTAAGCTAACTTTGTTGGACTTATGAACAAATTGGACTTACAAACACACTCTCGGGACGGGACTCATTCTTCTGTAGGGGACTTACTGTATTTACCATGTGCCATCCACTCCCAGGTAACGTGGAGAGGACACACCTGCTCTCTCCACTGCCCCAGGTTCGTGGGGAGACAGCCAAGGGAGCAATTCAAATGTGGGGCAGGATGGAGACAGCAAGCAACAGAGGTGAAGGAACCGAGGTTATGAGAAGGCAGAAACTAGGAGGCAAAGAAAACCAACAGAGACAAGGGTGAGGAAAGGAGATGGTGAACACGGAGAATGGGGTAAAAACCCAGAGAGTCACTGAGGCATCTATGGGGGCACCTGGCCTCCGGCTCCGGCTCCCTTGGATCCCTAAGCGCACTAAACTCTGTAACAAGCTCAGGTGCCCTGCTGTTTAAGAAACGACTTCACTTAGTCACGGTGAGCACAGCCCACACTCACACTTTCTGTGAGCTGAGCCAGCACTCCGTGGTCAACTCCAGGGGCCCTTCCACTCATCTGGCTACGGATCCCCGGGGCTGCCAGGGAGGGGTGTGAAGAGGTCTGGACCTCAGCCTGGGAGCTCTGACAGCACGGGGATCCCTGCAGGGAGGAATCGGCAAAAACTCAGACTGGAGGTCAGACAGATCTGAGTTTAGAGCTGGCTGTCCCTCTCACCTGCCATCAGACCAGCCTCCCTGTCAGCCTCATCTGTACCATGGGGCCAATAACACTTACCTGGCAGGGTACAGAATGGATTAGAATCAATGCACACAGCATCTAGAGCAAAGCCTGGAACATACAAAATGCTCAGGAAATGGTGGATGTCATTATTGTGGTGGCAATTAACAAGAAAAAATTGTGGCAGAGAAGCAGTCTGAGACACTGGGAATTAGTCTGCCCAAATCTCGATCCACACTTCTTATTGCACCTACCTGGCCGTGTTCTTGATTTGCTTCTCTGTTGGCCAGGAGTCCCGGGTTGAGGCATCAGAGGCTCCCTCTGCTCAACGGGAAGAATGATTTTGAATCCCATGATCGATTAGTGATGTCTGCCCTGGGTACAAAGGAAGGCTGGCAGTAGGTGTGCTATGTATCCTACCCTAATAATCCTATTAATGTTCAGGCAGTACTACCCTTAAACAAGAGGGACTCTGTCCCTAAGCCTATCCCTTTAGATCCATTACTTCTCCAACTTTCATGCACACATGAATCACTGAAGGATCTTATGAAAATAAAGATTCTGATTCCATAGGTCTGGGGTGGAGCCCAAGTTTCTGCATTTCTAACAAGTGCTAGCTGATGCCAATGCTATGGATCTGTGGAGTATGTGTGGATCAGGGTTTAGAGGCCCTGCTCTCACAATCTCAGACTCATTTTTTAGGGAGACTTTGAGCACCTTGGTCATGGGGGATCCAGCACTCATCGCTGGCAGGGTGAGCTGTCACCCTGGACGTTCACTTTGTGAATAACATGGGCAGGACCAGGCAAGTACTGCTTCACATCTCCTGTCCTGTGTCCTTGGAACAAAAGGTGGGTGCAAATCCATACAATGGAACATCATTCAGCCTTAAAAAGGAAGGTACTACAATGAGGTATCACCTCACACCGGTCAGAATGGCCACCATTAAAAAGTCTACAAATAACAGACGCTGGAGAGGACACGGAAAAAAGAGAACCCTCCTACACTGTGGATGGGAATTTAAGTTGGTGCAGCCACCATGGAAAACAGTATGGAGGTTCCTCAGAAAAAGTAAAAATACAGTTACCATGTGATCCAGCAGTCCCACCCCTTGGCATATCTGGACAAAACTATAATTCAAAGAGATACCCGCACCCCTATGTTCACAGCAGCACTATTTACAATAGCCAAGACATGGAAACAACATAAATGTCCATCGACAGATGAACGGATAAAGATATGGCACATATATACAATGGAATATTACTCAGCCATTAAAAAGAATGAAATAACGCCATTTGCAGCAACATGGATGGACCTACAGATTATCATACTAAGTGAAGAGAAAAGAAAGAGAAAGACCCTATCATTTACCATATGATATCACTCATATGTGGAATCTAAAATATGACACAAGTGAACGTATCTACAAAACAGAAGCAGACTCACAGACATAAAGAACAGACTTGTGGTTGCCAAGGGGGAGAGTGGGTGGGGGAGGGATGGATTGGGAGTTTGAGATTAGCAGATGCAAACTATTACATATAGAATGGATAAACAACGAGGTCCTACTGTATAGCTCATGGAACTATATTCAATGTCCTGTGATAAACTATAACGGAAAAGAATATGAAAAAGAATGTATATATATATATATATATATGTATAACTGAATCACTTTGCTGTACAGCAGAAATTAACACAACATTGTAAATCAACAATACTTCAATAAAATTAATTTTTTTTAAAAGAGGAAGAAAATTCTGACACTTGCTCCAACATGGATGAACCTTATGCTGAGTGAAAGGAGCCAGACGTAAAAAGGACAAGTATTGTAGGATTCCACTCATACGAGGTCCCTAGAGTAATCATATCCATAGGGACAGAAAGTAGAAGGGTGTGGGTCAAGGGCTGGAGGAGGGGGACGGGGGAGTTAGTGTTTAACGGGGACAGAGTCTCGGTTTGTGAAGATGAAAAACTCCTGGAGATGGATGGTGGTGATGGCTGCACAGCAAGGTGAATGTACTTAATGCCGCCGAAGTGTACACTGAAAACTGGTCAAAATTGTAAATTTTACATTAGGTATATTTTACCATAATTTTTAAAAAACTGACTGCATCCAAATGCTGTGAAGGTTTGTGGGTGATGCCACTGCTGGCATTGGCAGCCAGAAAGATGTGAGCAGCAGGCAGGCTTGGGTAAGAGAGAAGACAAACCACAGTCACGCTCCCCATCCGTGGGTTACACATCCCAGAGATTCAACCAGCCGGGGATGGAAACTACTACGTGATCCGCGGCTGATTGAATCCGTGGATGGTTGAATCCACGGATGCAGAACCCGCGAATACGGAGGAACACCCGCAAGAGATCTGAGCATCCGCGGACATGCCAGCATTCGCTGGAGTCCTGGAACTAAATCGGCTCCCTGATCCCCGCTCCCCGCCCCCGCGGGTACGGAGAGACGACTGCCATTCATCCGCGAAAGCCTTACTCTGAAGACAGCATGAACGCCATAGGCTGATGCCCAAGAAAGAGTCACAGCCCAGAAACCTCAAGCATCCATTTGTTTCTCTTCCTGTTTCATTTCCAGGTTTCAAAGACACTCATGAATTGCCTTGGAATTCCCAGTACGGGCACATGGCAGCTGAGAAACATGTGAAATATTAATGAATTCATACCACTCCTGAACTTGTATATGTGCAGGACTAGAGGTAACTTGCATTAGACATAACTCCTATTCTTTTCTTTTTAATTGAAGTACAGTATAGTTGACTTAGAACGTGTGCCAGTCTCTGCTGTACAGCAAAGTGACTCAGTTTTACACATACAGACATTCTTTTTTTAATATCCGTTTCCATTATCGTTTAGCCCAGGACACTGGATATAGCTCCCTGTGCTATACAGTAGGACCTTGCTGTTCACCCATTCTAAATGTTGATAGTTTGCATCTACCAACCCCGAACTCTCAGCCCACCCCTCTCCCTCCCCCCAACCCCTTGGCAGTCATAAGCCTGCTCTCTACCTATTCTTTTTTTTTTTCCTACCTATTCTTTATGTTGGCAACGAGGTGGACACTGAACTCCAGATGTGAGCAGTTTCATTTCCATATGATAGGTTTCAATCACATTTTCAAAAAAAATCAAATAAAATATTTCAGCTGTACTTAAATACTGTTTGACTTTAAAATGTTACTTATTCATCTTAATTTGTATTTTGCCTTTTCAACTTAATAGAAGTTTCGAATATTTTAGAATTAAACATCATTTAACTTTTTTCAGTTTCTGACATTTGCTTTAATTTACCTTTGTGGGTTTTTTTTAATTACATTTTTCATTTGAATCCTTTAGACTAGTGCTCTTCCAGAGAAACTTCTGCAATGATGGAAACGTTAAATGCCTGTGTTGTCCCATACAGCAGCGCTGGCCACATGTGACTATAGAGAACTTGAAATGTGGCTGGTGTGACTGAGGAACTAGCTTTTTAATTTTATTTTAATAAATTTAGATTTACCTTTTCTTTTTTTTTTTGGCCGCATGGCATATGGGCCCTTAGTTCCCCGTCCAGGGATCAAACCCATGCCCCCTGCATTGGGAGCACGGAGTCTTAACCACTGGACCTCCAGGGAAGGTCCAAGATTTACTTTTAAATTGTCACAGGTGGCAAGGGCTATAGTCCCAGACAGAACACCTTTAGATTATTACTGTTAACAGAACCCAAATATAAGTGAAAATCTTGACTATCGATAATGATTTTGCTGCAATGAAATCAATCAAATAAATCATATGACATACATAATAATTAATAAACTATGTCTTTATTACTCATCCAAGCAAGGCTGCCCAGCAACGAATGCCAAAGACGCGTGTAAAAATGAACTACACTCACAGCTACCTTTCCATTTATTTATTTATTTTTCTGGCCTCGCCACTCGGCATGTGGGATCTTAGCTCCCCGACCAGGAATCGAACCCGTGGCCCCTGCAGCAGAAGCGTGGAGGCTTAACCACTGGACCGCCAGGGAAGCCCCTTCAGCTGTCTCTGATGCCAGCCAGTCTTCAATCAGATGACGGCCACCGTCTTACAGAGGGCTCAATGTTGTCACCACAGAAGTATCGTTGTCGGAAGGAGGACAGAACCCATTTTGTTGAGAAGCTCGTTAGCTTGGTTTCTTACTTGAAATAACCAGACATACGGCAGGTGGGCTTCCGCGGGGACATTGCTCTGGCCCGACTGCGTTTGGGGCGGGACCGTCAGTGAAAGAACAAAGGAGGCCGGCGCACAATGTGTTCTCAGAGCCCTTCCAGTCCCGGCAAGGGTGCAGGCAGCAGGGAGGGCTCGGAATTCTAATCCCCGCGTCCAGTGGGGAGTAGAGACTCGGCGTGTGAGACACGTACCCTGCAGCTGCGGGTGATGACGATAATTATTCCCCAGGTTCGTGGCGGGGGGGGCGGGATGCAGACAAGCAGGGCCCAGACAAACCCAGGTGTGAATCCTACCAACTGCTCTACGGCCTCGGGCGAACCAAACAGGACTAGAAACTGCAGCTACTCCCAGGACGGCCAAGGATCAGAGGAGATGATGTACAGGAAGTGTGGGTCATCTATCTCCCCCTCCTCCATGAAGCCCTGGGCCGGCCGTGCCCCAGGTAGCCCAGCAAGGCAGAAGCGCCTCCCACCCCTTCTCCAGCCATGCAGACACCTGCTGACGTCGGAGAAAGCTCTGCCAAGACGGAAGGGTTTCTCCGACAGCCCCATGGATCTTGAGAAACTTGCTTGTTACAAACCGCCTCGAGTCCTCTCTGGAAAGGGACAGACTGGATAACAATAACAACGACATAAACAGCCACCGCTCTGGAGCACCAACTGTAGACCAAGGACCTCGCCAGATGCTTCACGTACCTCATCTTAATCACCTCGAGAAGCACAAACGTTTACAAAACCCGCGACCTTCAGAATTTCAGAGTCCCGGCTGGTGCAGGACTGGTCCTAAGTGGCTGTGAAGCGACCTCAGATAGAAGGACGGGGACTAAACCTACAGAAGGCCTCCCAGGGCCACTGCCACCACCCCACCTGTTAACCTCACTTACAAGGAGGAAAGCAAGGCTCAGGGGAAAAGTCCCCTGCACAAGAGAAGACGACAAAGAGGAGGGTGGAATCACTGCACAGGCTCCTGGCTCCTTCTATGTTTCCCAAGGACCCCGCCATGGAAGGAGTGGGACCCCATCTTTTTTTTTTTTCCGGTACGCGGGCCTCTCACTGCTGTGGCCCCTCCCGTTGCGGAGCACAGGCTCCGGACGCGCAGGCTCAGCGGCCATGGCTCACGGGCCCAGCCGCTCCGCGGCACGTGGGATCTTCCCGGACCGGGGCACGAACCCGTGCCCCCTGCATCGGCAGGCGGACTCTCAACCACTTGCGCCACCAGAGAAGCCCAAGGGACCTGATCTTTGGCCTTAGGAGCAACTCCCAACACCATGGCAGGAACTGTGCTGTGTGTGGCGGGGCGGGGGTGGGCAGGTCCCCAACCAAGTCATTATAGTCTGGGCCGTCGGTGAGCCTCGGCACCAGGCCAACACCCAGAACTGACAATGGATCAGGTATGTGCTGCAGAGGTGCTCCTGCAGCGTTGTGCACAGAAGCGGAATCCAGAAAGCGACTTGAGTGTCCAAAAGTGGGAAATAATAAAATAAAGCAGGGTGTGATGACGAGACGGAATATTAAGCAAAAGCCCCCCTTAAGCTGAGGTTGCAAAGCAATTATGGAAGAAAAGGGAGACGGGATTACGGCAGGTCAACTTTCAAAAATTAGAATACAACGCTAGCTATAGAGTATCTACAGAAAAAGCCTGCAAGAAAAGTCAACACATTTAACAGTGATGATCTCCAGACCATGGGATCAAAGGTCTGCTGCTTTCATCTTTATACCTACTTCCCATAATTTAAAAACTTTTCTCCAAGGAGCATGTGTTACATTTATAACCATAATGTTATTTTACAGTGGCCCACGTTTAAGGTCACATTGCATTAAGCGAAAGAGGGTACCTGTGTCTTCAGAGGTTAATTCGCTCACCCTAAGTCACACAGCCAGCATCACGCGACGGAGTTTGATTGGTAACTGCTCAGGTGCCGTTCTGGACATGGAAGCAGCAGGGGGCACAGACAGACAGGTGGACTACACTTCCCAGCTTCCTTGCAGTGAGGTGGCGCCATGTGGGGCTCAACCAGGAAACGTGAGACCTCGCTGCCTTCTAGGACACGCAGAACCCAGTTTATTTTTCTTCTCAACTTAAGAATTACAAGGACCCACAAGCCCCCTGTGTATCTTTCCCTCCCTCCCTTACAGGTAGCCACTAACCTGATTTTGGAATCATCGTCATCTCACTTTTCACGTACTTTTTCTCTGCATTCCTAAACCACACAGTTTCCTGGGATTTGAGTGTTACATGATTGGAGTCATGCTTTCTTCTGTGTTTTGCTACTGTTCAAACACGTCTGTGAGATTCATCCATACGTTGCCTGGGACTGGACTTGTTTTCCTTGCAGCATTACTGCTCCATTGCATGGATACATACTGTTCCATCAACGTGGACCTCTGGGCTGATTCCAGCTCTTGCTTACCTTGAACAGTGCTGCTGAGAAGATCCTGGGCCACCTCCCCCGGCACACATGTGCAGAATTTCTCTAGCGCAGACACCCAGAAGAGAGTGGCCGTGTCCAAGTTTACATGGTAATTTCTGTTTTCCGAAGTAGTTATAATAGTATTGTCAGACTTCTTATATATTGAATACAAGAATGGCGTCCCATGGACCCTTATTTCGCATTTCCTCGATCACCAATGCCAGCGAGCAGCTGTTCACATGCTTATGGCTCATCTGTGTCCTCCCTTCCTGCAATGACTCTCTTTTTACATTTTCTATTGGGCTGTCTTTTCCTTACTGTGGTTCTTTATAGATTCTGGATATTATTATTTACTTAATTTTTTTTTTGGCTGTGCCGTGCAGCTTTTGGGATCTTAGCCCCCCGACTAGGGACTGAACCCGTGCCCCCTGCAGTCAAAGCGCTGAGTCCTAACCACTGGACCTCCAGGGAGTTCCCGATTCTGGATATTAATTACTTGTTGGTTAAATATGTTGCAAATGCAAATATGTCCTTCAAGTTCGTGGCTTGTCTTCTCCTGTCTTCCTGGCATTGTTTGGTAAATATTCATAATTTTTAATGTAGTTGAGTTTATCAATCTTTTATAGTTTGAACTTTTTGTGCCTTCAGAAATCTTTACCTAGCATGATAGCCAAAAGATATTGTTTCAAATTTTCAAAAAGTTTTCAATTTTTTTTTAAAATTTCACTTGCAAATCTTTAATCCATCTAGAAATGCTTTTTCTGTATGGTGTGAGGTAGGACTCTAGTTTCATTGTTTCCATCTAGATTATTGTCTCAGTACCATTTATTCAATAGACCATCCTTAACTTGGTTGATCAGCAAGGCAACCTTTGTCAAAAGTCAAATGCCTTTATATACATGAATCTGTTTCTGGCCTCTCTGTTCTGTTCCATTGGTCAATTTGCCTAGCCCTGAACCAACACTACAGTCTTTAATTCCTAGAGCTTGATGATAAGTATGTTTCTGGATGTAGATAAACCATTCAAGGACTCGAGATTAGAACCTTAAAGATCAGTTGGTACAACCACCCACTGAGAAACAGAGGCTCAGAGACGGAAAGCATCTTTTGCAACGTCACACAGGAGCAGTGTTAAGAGCGGAATGTTTGTGTCCCCCCTCCACAAAAAAAATTCGTATGTTGAAATCTAACCCTCAGTGTGATGACATTTGGAGGTAGATCCCTTGGGCATAATTAGGTCATAAGGGTGAAGCCCTCATGAATGGAATTACTGCCCTTATACGAAGAAGCCAAAGAGCTAGCTCCGTCTCTTTCTGACCTATGAGGATACAAGAAGTCGGCAGTCTGTAACCTGGAAGAGGGCCCTCACCAGAACCCAACCTTGCTGGCACCCTGATCTCAGACCTCCAGCCTCTAGAACTGTGAGAAATACTTTTCTGCTGTTTATAAGGCACCCAGTCTACGGTACTTTGTTATGGCAGCCTGAAAGAACTAAGACAAACACCCATCTCTCACCCTGGAGGACATTCCTGTCCTGTTCAATATGACAATCACTGACCACATGTGTTTATTGAGCACTTGAAATATAGCTAGTTCAAATTGGGATGGGCTGTAAGTATAAAACACACCAGATTTTGAAGACTTGTGGTTGAAAATAAACTGTAAAATATCTTATGAATAATTTGTTTATATTGATTACATATTGAATATCCTTTGGATATAAAGTGTTAACTAAAATATATTCTCATAATTAATTTCACCTGTTTCTTTTCACCTTCTCATGACAGTGAGATGGGAAATTAGCCACACATTAAACTGAACGGCTATGAGAAAATTTAAAACTACCTCTGTGGCTTGTATGCTATTTCTATTGGACAGGTCTGGGTCATACTATTAAATTCACTCAATCACAAAGCCTTGATTAAGGACCTAATATGTGGACTGAACAGTAGTAAGGGCCGCACAAGGAGGAAGGGAACAGAAATAGTTCTAATCAATGCATTCCATTTCCTCACTGGGCTTATCACCTGTAGAAGCGTCATCAGCCCAAGCATGAAAGAAATGGTTCATGGTCCAGCCCTCAGCCCAGCTGGAGAGCTCTATTCCAGTTACAGCGGGAGCAGCACCAGTGTCAAAATCTAGAGATCATTTAGACCAACGCTCCTGTCTAACGGATTAACCAGTAGAGGTCCAGAGAGGTTGAGACGCCTACCCAAGGTCACACAGCAGGTGTGGGACAGAGCTCCTTCCCCGCATCTGAAGTCTCCAGACCCGGGTTTCTCCCTTCCCTTCGAGTGAACACTCCACCAACTTACATCTCACACCAGCACACAGGACCCTCGAGAACAATCCTCTGAAAGCCCAAGTTCCCACACCAGAGGAGACCTTGCAGATTTGTGCAGCCAGCCCCTCCCACCTTCCCGCCAAGAGAAACACCACAGGAGTTCCTCCAGGCCTTCCCACCAGCAACCCCTCTCCAGCGGGACTCCCCAACTTCATGAAGGAGACACAACGCCCCCCCCCCACCAGAGGAAACAGAGATGAGACTGAGAGGGAAAGGACACAGTCCTGCCTCCCCACTCTCCCGCCCTGAAGCCGAGCTCAGCCCGGCCTCTGGGGTCGAGCTGTGCTCCATCTGACAGCAACTTGTGGAGACTTAATGGGACCAGGGACCCTCAACAATTGCCAGGAGACAATGAACTGTGTAGGTGTGACAGCAAAAAGGATGCCAACCCAGCTCAACTCACCACCTGCCCACTCCGCCCACGGAGGCAGGAGGCCTGGCAGGAGGGTAAGAGCAGGTGAAGGCGGGCTCCCCGGGGCAGGAGGCCGACGCCTAGGGCTGCACACCCAGAGCAGTGGGTCCTCCCGCAAGACTCCTAGGGGCGAAGGAGCAATCCTAGAAAAGGGTTTTCATCCAGCTTTCAGGCAAGCCCACCCCGCCAAAATCTTAGAGGAACTTAATATTCCCTCCCCTCCCCACCAGCCCCTTAATTGGGAATCAAAGCGACAAGACCTTGGCTTCCACTCGGCAATCTGAAATCACTTTAGAAGAAGAAACTGAGGTTCAGGTGGGACCACAGACTTCCCACTATGAAAAACCCAAGATGTATAGGTCCTGGTCCTGTGCCTCAGTTTCCTTACCCATTCCTCCTGCTTGCTATGAGGGCGGTCAGGGGTGGTACGGGGGACAGGGGTGGTTGGGGTTTCGCTGGGGTGGTGCGGGCCAACGCCTTTTATCATTAACAAAAGCGCCGAATAGCGATTGAGCCCGTGCAAAGTGCTTTCAAGGGATCATCTCACTTAATCCTCGCGGGGACCCCAGGGGTGGGGACTCTCATTATCCCCGCCTTTGAGACCTGGAAATTGAGGTTCAGAGAGGTGAAGCGACTCGCCCCAGGGCACCACGCTAAGTCGGAGGCGCGGGGAAACCGCGCTCCTCCCGGGTCCAGGGCGCAGAGCTGCGCGCGGAGACTCACAAACACCACGACGTCTCGTGTCCGGCTTCTTCCGGCCGAGGACAGGGTCCATTTATCACCCTGAATTCTCGGGGCGGCGGGGGGAGCGCGCTGGCGGCGCAGGAAGCCGGACCCGCCGCCCGCGCTCCCCACCCCCGCTCACCTCGCGTACTTCGTCTTCTGGAAATCCAGGAGCCGCGGAGCGAACATCGCGGCGGTTCCATCAGCCTCCAGCCCGGGGCTCCGACCGCGGCAACTTGAAGAGGCCGCGGCGCCGGAGCAGCAGGTCAGCGGCCGCGGGGCGGGGGCGGCCGGGGGCGCGCGGAGCCGAGCTGGAGCGGAGCCCGGAGCCGCCGACGCCAAATCCCGAGCAGCTGGTGGCGGGCGGGGCGGGGGGGCTCCGGGCCAATCGCCTGAGTCCCCGCAGCCCCGGCCCCCTCCCCGCGCGGGGCCGACCCCTCCCAGCCTCGCTGCGGGAAGGGAACCCTGGGGGAGGGGTGGAGGCCTAAGGGGAGCTTCCGAAAGCAGCCCCTTCTTCTTTGCTCCCCGGGGCCCCTCGTCCCGTAGTTTTTCCTGCGAGAAGACTGCCTGTTAGACGGAGCCCCGCTGTCCCCCGCGGCCAAAGGGGGGCGGACCCTGCCCGCGTGCCCGCCCTGCGGCCCCTCGCGTGGCCGGCCCCAGAGCGTACCTGTAGCTCACACTCCCCCCTCCGCCCCCGCTTTGCGTCCGTGCGAGGTGCGACGGCCCCAAGAGGAGGGCGCAGTCTCTGGGGAACCCCCTAATTCCCAGAGGCTGTGACTCTGGGGACCCTCACGACCCTGAGACAGGGGCACACGCATTTGGGCATTTGGTCGCCAGTTACCCAGGATGTGCCCACCACCACCCCAGCCCCCAAACGCTGCCCCGCATCTGTACAAAATTCAGCTTTCTCCTTTAGGGGACCTTGGCCTGGGGTATGGGGTATGTGAAACCACCTACTGGAAGAGGTGACACCCTGGGGGCTGCTGGAAGGCAGGACAGCCTTTGATGTGGAAAGACAGGTCCCCAAGTAGAAGGTCAGGTCCCTCCTTCCCACGCACACACCTCCCCCTCCTTCCCTCTCCTCCCTTCCCTTCCCAAGCCCCAGCTCCCTGCTACTTTTTATAACAAGCTTTATTTGAGATCCTACTACACAGTTAGAAAATAATCCCACCCACATCCTCTGCCCCAAGGTAGCTAGAACAAGATGAAGGAGAAAGACAAAAGGACTCCATCAAATTCATTTCTGCACTCCAGATGCCCACACGGTGGGCACACACACCTGGAATTGGTGAGGACCAGAAGGGTTGCAGGTAGATGCGTTCAGAGGCCACTGCAGGGCTGGGGGTGGGATGGTCAAGAGAAGCGATCCAGGGATGCTTAAGAGGTAAAAATCCACCGGACCCTGTTGATGGAGGACTAGAAGTGGGGAGTGACCCCTGGGTTTCTGGCCGGCCATGCTGGGTGGGTACTGGTGCCACCTAGGGAGGGGGGTGGTGACAGGAGTAGGGGAGATCATGAGTCAGGTTTTGGCCAGGTGGGCTTGAGGTCAAGGTTGGCATGAGTGGAAGGCCAAGGGATGGACATGTGGGCCAGAGGGTCTGGCAGGGTCCCAGTCCAGCCGGTGAGGAGGGGGTGGGAGGGTCAAGCTGGAAAGATCCCTTAGCGCCGTGGGTTTCGAATTGCTCTCTGGACTTGCTAGGGCTCTGACTTCCAATACAATAACCACCAGCCTCGTGCAACTACTTACGTCTATGTTGAGTTAATCGAAATAAAATTGAAAATTCAGTGGCCTGGTTACTAGCCGTATTTCAAGGAGCTACCTTATCGGACCATTGCCAGCATCATGGAAAGTTCCACGGGACAGCACGACACCAGAAGATCGTGGAGTCAACCTAGGGCATGGTGAGCAGCATTTAAAAACAAAGTGAAGTAGAAAAGATGCAAAGAGAACACGTCACGTTCAAGAAACTTCTGTTTGTATACATCTGGGTCCTGGTTGCGATGGAAGATCTATTTCTTACTAGGAGTCATGGTTAAGAAGGACGAGGAGGGCTTCCCTGGTGGCGCAGTGGTTGAGAGTCCGCCTGCCGATGCAGGGGACACGGGTTCGTGCCCCGGTCTGGGAAGATCCCACATGCCACGGAGCGGCTGGGCCTGTGAGCCATGGCCGCTGAGCCTGCGCGTCCGGAGCCTGTGCTCCGCAATGGGAGAGGCCACAGCAGTGAGAGGCCCGCGTACCGCAAAAAAAAAAAAAAAAAAAAGAAAGGACGAGGAAAAAAAAAAAGAAGGGTGAGGCTCACAGCTGTGGTGGCTATAGCACCCCCTGTCCCCTCATATAGAGGAGGGAAAGGGAGGCTGAGAGGGGCCAGGGCGCCCTCCCAAGGTCGCACAGCCTGAGGAGAAGGACCTGCCCCAGAACCCAGCTCTGCAGGCTCTGAGCTCACTGCCCGCCACAAAACCCCTGTTCTAATGAGTTCTTAGATCTCCAGGAGCCCAAAGTCAAACTTAGTCAGGTAAGGCCGGGCCCTGCATATCATGGCTTCTTTCCTGACCTTGACCTCCATCGCCATTGCTCTGACCCCCAAACTCTGCCCCCAATCTCACTGTCAGCCGCACCAGGACACACCTGTCCCCAGGCACAAGCCAGACCTCCTCCAAAGCCCTCAACCCCAACTTCCAGGAAAAGGGCCCTGCTGGCTTTTCAAAGGTGTGAGCCCCCCACTTTCTGGGGTGGCCAGGCCAGGCTCGGGGGGTCCGCCGGTAACCACAGCTCCCCAGAGGCCGAGCAGAGACACACAGAGAGGTGGCCTGGGCCTCCCCCAGCTCCTGGGCCTCCCCCGGGTTCCTGGGCCTCCCCAGGTTCCTGGGCCTCCCCTGGGTTCCTGGGCCTCCCCCGGGTTCCTGGGCCTCCCCAGCTCCTGGGCCTCCCCTGGGTTCCTGGGCCTCCCCAGGTTCCTGGGCCTCCCCCAGCTCCTGGGCCTCCCCCGGGTCCCGGTCCACTGGCTTCCTCCCGGCCCCCACCTGCGGTCGACCTTCAAGCAGCTCTTGGCTATGGGCTCAGCAGGGCCCTGAGGAGACCCCCGAAAGGAAACACAAGCCTAGAAATGGATTTTCTTTTCCTCCAAGAGCAATAGAAGTTGAATAAAAAACAAGTTACTATTTTTACGGCTGGGATCCAGTTGTTATAGCAACCGAGGGCCTGACTCCTGCACGGGAGTCAGGGTTGGACTGCGTGTGACAGAGAAGACAGGTGGGCTCCGGGGGCAGCAGGGGCTGGAGGACAAGCCTCAGGCCCCCGACCTTGGGGCCTGCCTGGGGTCCAGGTCTGCCCCACCCGCCCCCCCGATCGGAAGTCCGGCCCTGCTCGCTGCTGACCCACCTCACCATGGCAGGTGGTTCTAACACCTTCTCCCTTTGGTGCGAGCCCACCTCCTACTAGCGCTGTGGTCCCAGACTCGGCCCAGCCTTGTTCCCAGAGCCTTACTTCACCAGTCCTGGGACTGGGTGACATGCCTCATCTCCACCTGCGGCCCTGCCACAGCGGCAACTCTCGGGCAGAGGAGATCAGATCCTCGACCTCACCTGGCCAAAACCCCACTCGCGAGTCCCCCCTCCCCCTCTGCTGTTCCTCCTCTGGTCCCCTATCTCCCAGAGGTGGTACCAGCATCACCCCACTGGGCCACGTTGGACAGGGGTTGGGAAGCTCTGAAGTGGCCTCCCTGGGACTCAAGGCGAGGTGCTAGCACTCAAGCCTCCGTCCCGTCACTTGTAAAATCGGGGTAACAGCGCCCACCTTGCAAAATCACCGAGGAGCAAAGGTGGCCTGGGGCTGACATGATTATGGACAGTTTGCTTCCCCTTTAATCCTCTCTGTAACTCTACGTGGCAGGCGTTGGCATTGCTAATATACAGGTGAGGAAACGGGCTCAGCCAGGTTAAGCCACGCAGCAAGCCACACGGCTAGATTGAAAATCAGCCCCTGCACTATTGAACAGGCGTTGATTACGCACTTACCGTATTCCTGGCTCTTCGGAGGTGCAGAGCGGGAAGTAGGCGGGTGAGATAAAGGCTGCCCAACCACCCATGCTTCTGTCCCCTTCCCTGGAGCCCTGAGCACATCACCAGGCTCTCCCTGCCCCGCAGCAAGCCCCGACCTGATCCTCAGCCTCCTCCCTCTTGCTGACGTTGATCTCCAACAGTAGGTGTGAAATGGGCACCTACTATGCGCCTAGCAGGGTGTGGGAGCTAGAGGGAGCCACAGTCCTGGCCGCCTAGAGCTTGGGGTCTGGTGTGACAGAAGGGACGTGGGACAATTGCAAACCATCTGTTGATTCGCTCAGTCGGTGAATTTGAGTAAATGGCACGTGCCTGATTCTTCACGTACATCACCTCAGGAATCCTTTCAACAGCCAGACAAGGATTCCCATTCAGCTGACCGACTAAGGCTTGAAGAGGTGGCTGGTGACAGGTAGGGAGGGTGGAGCCGGGTTTCAAACCCAGGCTGACCTCACAGCAAACCCCCTGCTTGTTTCCGGAATTTCTCTTTCAGCATCCCAGCCTCCCTGCTTGGGACACACAGGTGAATGGGGGGCAGGCCTGGTGAAAGCAACAACCCAGGGGCAGACAAAGTCTTGGGGGGTTGGGGACCAAGAAGGGGGAGCAACTTTGCCTGGGGGCTCAGGGCTGGGAGGAAGTTGGGGAAGCTTTCTCAGCTGAGGCTGTACGATGGCTGGAAGGTAGCCAGGAGGACGAGGGGCAGCCAGCGGAGGAAGCGTCTTCCAGGCAGAGGGAACAGCATCTGCAAAGGCTCAGTGGCATGGAGCAGCTTGAGTGAGGGGTCTGGACTCTACTTTCTAGGCATTGGAGAAGCAAAGCGTTTTAAGCAAGGGGGTAGGCGAGCGTCACTCTCCACGCTACAGAAGCTCTGATGCTCATGGAAGATGGGCTGCCATTTAGGGCAGGAGGAGAGACACCCAGCTGAGCTGAGGGAGCAGAGACTAGAGATGCTGGGAGACAGAACCTACATGTCTTCAAGTGGAAGTGGGGGGAAGGAAGGCATTGGAGTGGCCCCCCAATTCCAAGCTGAGGCCCAGCTTCTCAATGACAATACCACGTTTCATCAAATCTAAGACACCATCCATGTAAGGTGCACTTTTGTGTACCACTCAGAAAGATAAATCGCTAGCAATTAATTCTGCCGACATGGTATTGTGAACTTTTTCAAGCACACAGAGAAGTTCAGAGAATCATACAGTGAACACGCATATAAACACCACCGGGAATCTACTGCTAACATTTGGTTCTATCAAGAATCTACGCCTTGATCCATCCATCATTCCACCTTCTT